CGTTCCCAAAGCAACAGAGCTTCTCTGTGAAGCCTCCTCCATCCCCTCAGTCCCCAGTGCCATCAGTGGTGAAACAGATCGTTAGCCAGTTCCCACCTCCTCCCACCCCACCGGCCACTGAGCCCCAGCCTCTGAAACCCCTGCCACTGAGTGTGGCTCCACAGTCACCTCCAGCAGTGAAAGCAAAGCCCAAATTGGCAGCCCGCTTCCGCTCCTTCACCAGATTTTCCTCCTCCTCCACCAGAGAGCAGCTTAGTGTTTCCTCCTCCACCTCCTTCCCCAGCTTCCTCTGCAGGTTCTCCCCCACCTGACAAATCAGGGTCTCCAGTCAAAAAGACCGGCAAGACATCAAGCCCCGGAGGGAAGAAACCACCTCCAACACCTCAGCGGAACTCCAGCATCAAGTCCACCAGCTCCACAGAGTACCATGAGTCCAAGAGACCTTCGGTGGACCGCCTTGTCAGCAAATTTGCACACCCACCCGAGCCGTCAGGGTCTCCTTCCAAGGAGTCATCACCTCCTGCAGCCCCTCCAAAGCCAGGAAAGCTCAACCTTTCTGGGGTGAGCCTGCCTATTGTCCTTCCGCAAGGAGGGATCCCGGCCAAGGCTCCTGCTCTGGGTGTGTCTGGGAAGGAACCTGTGGTCGAATTCCCTTCACCACCGTCTGATTCAGACTTTCCACCACCACCACCTGAAATAGACCTTCCTCTCCCACCAGTTGAGATCCCATCTGTGTTTTCAGGCAGCACCTCCCCAAAAGTCGCTGTTGTCAATCCCCAGCCTCAGGCATGGTCAAAGCCACCTGTGAAAAAAGCCCCACCACCCACACGTCCCAAGCGCAACGACAGCACTCGGCTGACGCAGGCAGAGGTTGCGGAGCCGCCAGGCTCGGCCGTCCCTCAAGTGCCCACTTCACCCAAGTCCAGCCTTAGTGTTCAGCCGGGATTCCTGGCAGACCTCAACCGGACACTGCAGCGCAAATCCATCACACGGCACGGCTCCCTCTCCTCCGCACGCATGTCCAGAACAGAGCCCACGGCCACCATGGATGACATGGCCCTGCCTCCACCTCCACCGGAGCTGCTGGCTGACCAGCAGAAGACAACCAGCTTTGGGGGCAGCCATATATCTGGCTACGCAACGTTACGGAGGGGGCCACCCCCCGCACCTCCCAAGAGAGATCAGAACACCAAGCTGTCGCGGGACTGGTAGTTGGTCCCCAGGGGCGCTGCTCTCCTTGATGCGCGGGCTGCTCCGTGATCGGCCAACCTGGGATCTCACGCGCTCGGACAGAGTGTGGGGATGTGGATGACAGCCCCGTCGAGAAAGGTGATCTCAAACTGTAGCTGAGGCTAAACATGAAGACGTTCCCCTTTCATGGCTAGGCCGAAAAGGTGGGGGCTTGAGGGTGTCGATATTTTATTGGGAAAGGTGGGTAGAGAGGCATTGACCTGTACTCTGAATTTCTTTTTTCCTTCATATGGATTGGACCAAACCCACATTTTCTTACTTTTTCTGCATTTGGGGTGGGGGGGGCGTGATAACTTTTTGTAGTGTCTGTCCACGTGAGACATGTTTGTGCATGTATTATAAGTGTAGGTATATAATATACTGTGATATATTTTGTCGCAATTATAGAAGATAACCAGAATGTTTTTGTAGAACCGTATTTATTGTTTCAGTCACTATCTTATCTGGAATCAGACTCTCTAACTAGTCAAATCCTACAACAAAGATGAAGTCATAGGGGGCACTTTAAAGAAAGGAAGAAAAAGAACAAAAGAAAGAAACAAACCAACCCACAAACCTGTCAGCAGTTTGTGGTGGGTAAATAGTGCAGAGCGGAGATGTTCTGCTGGTAACTGTATATTGTTCATTGATTGAAAAGTACAAATGCAACATACCAAAACATTCTGGTCATAATACTACTGAAAATGAATATGTGCTGGGGAAGGAAATAGATTTTATATATAGTGGGCTGGAGTGGAATATATTTATACTATAAAGAGCCTCCCCCTCCCTTCCAGATACTTAAAAACTATATACTGCTACTTTAGAGTTATTTGTCCATGCAGTAAGTAGGATAAATATGCATTATGCCAATCCTTTACGCATTCTGAGTTCATAGTAGGCTCGATCATTTGTTTCTATGGCTCAGGACGCATTTATTTGTGTTAACCCCTTCTGAAAGCTGTCAGGACTCCTGCAATCGATGTGAAGCCACGACGCTGACCCACGCTGGTACATCACTTGTATGTGTCCTTCCTTCCCTGAATGAACAGGTAGGTAGAGAGTGTTACGTTCTTGCACAGGCATACGCAGCAGACAGTTTCACCTTGTCTGTGCCTGCTAAGATATATTATCCTTATAAAAACAAGTGTCTGGAAACATTTAAAGTATTGTTTGTAATTCATTGGAAATTGTCAGGAAACTTCCCTTCTAGAAGGAGAGAAGGGAGTGGTAGTTTCAGGCCAAGGACAGTGGGAATTTTCTCTCTTTGACCCGCCAGAGACTGCAACCAATGCATAAACCTGCTAATTACAAAGTTGCACTTGTAGCAGTCAGGGGACAAGACTGGAAAAAAAACCACCTTGAGAGGCAATAGCATTTGCTGGTAAATTAACTTAAGGGCCCATACAAGTAGGAAATAACTATTGTATTTGCTTTGTGGGGTCTATTTCTTAAGTATTAGAGCATATTTTCTTGTACTTAAGTAGCTGGATTGTATGGTCTTACCCACACGTTCAGACGCTGTGACAGGGCAGTGCAGTTAGCGTCAGTGCTCTCACGTATCATGCGGGTTCCTTACAGGGTGGCCATACACAACCTCTGTGAAGTAACTAAAACACTTGGACTGTACCTACCCCATCTCGTTTGTTACAACTGCCCCTCATCACCGTGGGGATTCTGCTAAGGCTCAGATAGCAAATGATTTTACCGACTGTTTTTATTTCTCCAAATGCAAATTTTAAATGTTTTCCTTCCCCTAAAGACTGAAGCGAAGGAAGTAGCTCAACCTGACAGTATCCTCAAGCATGTAAAAAAAGATGTAAACTAATCTCTCATTAGAGTCATTCAGGCTGATAGATTTAAGAAATATTGTGACCATGTCCCCTATTCCTTTTTTTTATAGTGTTTTTTAAAAAATCCAAATAATGAAATAAATGTCTTTGTGAATAATTTATGAACAGGAATAAAGCTTTGCTAATTAGAGGGGAAAAAATCACACAGCTATAACTATATAGTTTTAAATAACTGCATCATGAAAAGAGAAAAATTAATGGTGCTGTCTCTGCTGACCAGTTTCATATGATTTTTTTAAAATCTGTTTCAGCACCTCTGGAAATTGTTTTAATATTTCAGACTAGTTTTTTTGAGCAATAAGAGTATATACCATTGTGTGCATTTTTAAAGCACTGCTATGGAAAGGCACTTTTTTGTATCTTTCAAATTGTTCTGTTTCTACTATTTTTGTGCTTATAAAGTGTCCTTAAAAGCATTTGCATTGTTGATTTTAAGCATGCTCAGTGTAGCTAGTAACTTCCGAGGGAGGTTGCTAAGCTGTGCTGCAGTTCATGGGTGCTGTAATTTTCAACATCGGTCCTCCTGCTGCTTTGTACTGTGTGCGGCTCCTGGGGCTCACACCTGCCAGCGGAGCAGAAGCTGCACAGCCACAGTTGTGGCTCCTGGCTCTTCCTGACAGGTAAGTGGACGTGGGCTCCTGCTCCCGGGCAAGGTGTGTCCGGGCACATTCTCCTGGGTGAGAGCAGACAGGGAATTCTGCTTGCCCAACGTGTTTTTCTTTTCCCACAAGACAGGCTCTGCTGATGTGTGTCAGTTCCACTGGTGTGTGTCAGTTCCAGCCCTTTTTCTTTTCTTCATTCAGTGCTGGTACCTCTGGGCTATAGACTTGCAGAGCAATGTCTCGAGTGCAATTTCTTCAGAGGCATTTGAGCCTCGTACTCATTTTCCTGTGCCCAAGTTCATTTACTAAGGATCTCTCCCTAGACAATGTATCTCTGCTTAAAACTGCAGGCTGCCAAGCAGCTTGCTGGGAGACAGAAGTTTAACTCTTTAAGTTTGCAGCAAAAAAGAATGAGAGTCAGCAAAGGTGGCACCCTGTATCCCTTCTTGTTACAGCTTACTTCCTAAGCCAGTAGTGATACAGAAATACGGCCAGTGGCTGCAGCTTGCTCTCAGCTGAGCACTGAAATTTGGTTAGTGTGGTTCAGACACCTGGTTGCCTTTCCAGCTTTTGAGACCCCTCAAGGTAACTTGGCTTTTCCAGTGTATTTACTGATTTTGTGACAGTAAATATTTATGCCTTATTTGCAAGTAAGTTATTTTGCCCTGCGTGCACTGGTCTCATAATTACTCCATTATATTTATTTAAATCAGAAAACAAAGGGGACAGATCTCAGACACAAAAGGAAGAAGCTTCCTGGTACAAAAATGTGCTGTAATCCTTTTGGCACTATTAAAATGAGCTCACTAGAAATGTGAGAGCTGAGCTTTCATACTCTGGACACAAAGACAGCAGATGCTTTGATCCTAAGATACTAAGGGCGTACAGCTGCATTGCGTTACGTGGTGAAGCCGTATGGCCTTCGAAGCTCGTTCTGGTGGGTGTCAGGGGAAAGCCCCACGGCCATGGGGGCAGCTGAGAGTGTAGAGCTGCACACGTTAGTCTGTTCCAGGGACGGTCTCTCCTCTGTGCTGTGCAGCAGCCACCCCTGTGAGCAGCAGGGTCCCTCCTGCTCAGCCAGGTTTCTCTGTGCCTGCAGCACAGGTGTAGAAAGCAGGGAGCTGGTCTTTTCTTGGACACTTCAATTGTAATTCAGGTCTCGGAGAGTTGCTTTGGAAGGGAAAACTAGGCCCTTACATCAGCAGTAAGCTTAGAACGGAAATTATTACAAAAAACCCTGACACGGGGGTCCTAAACAAACCATATGAGGTTAGGTTTAGTCTTTCAAAACCTGTGCTTGGGGGAGGAGGTTAGGCACAAGTCTCACCATAAACTAACCCTGTTATTTTCTGTGGAAGAGGAAGCCTCCTGCTTCACCCTGTGCTGCAGCGGTTTCCTCCTGCGGCAAACCACCACTGCTTGCTTGAATTTGGTGCGTGACTTCAAAGCCAAAGAGCTCCTCTCCTGAACTTACCCTGCAGGTCCCTGCAGGGGAGCACTGACTGACGGACATCAGGGAAAACAAAGTGAAGGTACCTGGATCACTTTGGTTTCAGGGCTGATGGGAGAAGGAGCAGTTTTTTTCAACAAGTGCATTTTAAGATTTACTATTCTGGACTTGCACATTTAAAGGTTTTTCTAATTTCTTCTGTGTCTTTAGGCAACCAGATAACTCAAATCAGCTCAGAGATAAAGTGTGGCAGATTTCCTCTAAGATTTTTTTCCACAGTTAAAGTAACCAAAAGTGCCATTTCAACAGCAGAAGGGCAAAAGAGGAATTTTCTGCTTGTTACAGAAAACTGCATAGGTTTTACTAGGGTGATACCATTGCAAGTCAATTTGTTTCTTATTCAAAATAAGACAGTAAGTAGGTCTTAGAATATTACATCAAATACAGTGATGTCAAAGTCAGTTGCACTCCAGGAACATGCTGTAAATTCCTGACAGAAGGTAGGATGCAACCAGAACATGTGAGTTTAGGGTTGCTTTTTTTCCTTATTTTCATTGTTGAGGTGTAGATTATTTATCTGTTCAAACAGTGCTCCTCATTTGGAGGTGAGGGAAGTCTTACTTTGCAGGAGCTTTCTGAAGCCCATTTGTGGCTCCTGGAGTTCAGCTTTACATTCCCTTGTACAATCAAGGCAGACTCCAAACCAGAGAGGATTTAACACTACAGGGGGTACTTTCTCTTAGATGATTTTGTAATGTGCTAGTGGGTTTTAAGCGTTCAGTTTTGAATTCTAAGTTTGTCTAAACTTGAGTAATTTTCCTTTCTGAATTGTTCTCCTTCAAACACCCATGAAGACTGAGAGAACCAGTGTTATGTTGCCGGGTCACTCACCAATTCTGTGATCCACCGAGTCACAGAATTGCTCTAGATTTGACAAGTTTAAGACACTAAACTGCAAATGCGGAGAGAACACATGCTTCTCCCTCACCATGTAAATTGAAGTAATTGCCACTAACATTTGGAAAACAGGGATTTGGGCTGATGGCTATTGGTGCTCCGAGGCACTCAATAGGACTT